ATAAAAAAAGTGAATAACTGTTCAATGGAGGGGCTAAATTAGACATGCTCAGGACCTTATTCTGTACTCCCCTCTCTGTGTAGATAACATGCCCATAGAAGTTCACTCCTGCCTGGGGAGTATAGAATAAGGTCCAATGAGTTAATAAGGACCTCAAAGTTATTTTGGCAGAGAAAAAAAAGTTTTCTTCTGGGATGCAATTAGCTGAAATTCTTCTGCTATAATTGTGGATACTTTCCATTGCTCCTTTTGGTTGGAGATGACATTAGTCCAGGAGACAAACTTGCCAGGGTAAGGGCTGGGGTGAATGTGGGTTTCTAATTGGTTCACTTGAAAAGTGTGAAGAAATGAAAGTTTACTTGATGATTCTGCAATCCTTAGTGATGTTGGGCACTTACTCATGCAGTCAATTGGTTTAAAAGGGACCATCACATGAGTAATCAATGTTACTTTATGCAGGTATCAATCATACAGGACAACAGAATTCTGAATTGTGGTTAGGAAGCCTTCCAGGATTCCCTTTCTGATTTCCTCTCTCAGCCTTAGCCTTGTTCATGCTGCTCCACGTGCCAACATAAGAGCATGAAAGTTGTCCCGGTCTCTTTCCACAGGTGAGTAGCTATTTCATGTGTGCTCCCAGCACCTGCCCCTATGGACAATAAGGAGCAATACCCAAGTCCAATAACCTGCCCAATCCTTTGAGTAGAATTTAATTTTCTAGTAGTAAGTCACCAAGGATTTATTTTCTGATCCTTCTCATGGCACATGATGGCCCCTATATTTTCTTACACTGTCTTTTCCTCATCAGAATATTTCTCCCATAGATTTTGTTTTCAGGGGCAGCTTTATGGAATTAGTTACAGATTAATGACAAACTCCTGGAAATCAACAGACCATAAAGAGTCTAGAATTCAGTGGGTACACCAGGCATCAGTATGAATTAATAGGGATTTGGATACCAACTCTAGACAGGTACTGCCATTCCAGGGGATCCCCCACCAATGGCCTGAGATGATCCTGCAGATGCCGAGCTTCAGTTTCTCTGTGAGGTTCCCTCTCTGCTCATGGCACCTCCTGCTTTTTGCTCTTGGGATTAGCTCCATCTCTCAGGTAGTCTCTCCAGCTGTCTTCTCTCTGTATGCAGCCTCTCTTGCTCTCACTGCTGCTGCTTTCAGTCTGTGACTTGGCCCTTCACTAAGTCCCTCCCCTTCTGGGAAAAATCACATCTTTCCAGACCAGCTGTCCAGCAAGTTCTCCCCTGCCCTGAACCACTACCCAGTAGCTGGTAGGGGAACCCAGGCCTGCCCTCTAAACTAGACTCCAGGCCCAGGACCCTACTACATGCAGCCTAGCCATGTACTGCCTATGACCTTATTGCCATTTTTGCTACCTGATTCCCCACTTCTCTGGGTTCACCTGCTCTTCCACAACCTCCTCTTATGGGATGTATGCAGCCTGCCTTTCTGCAGCCACAAACGCTCCTCTCTCTTTCCAGGGAATAGCTGTCCTCCCCTAGTAGCCACCTCTCTTGCTTTCTAGCCAGTTACCTGCCTTTTTACAGCCCCGCCTGTTCGTGTCCCGGTGATCCTGTTCCTCAACAATTTGCTCCCTGGCTTGCAGCCTAATCAGCAACTTGGGCCACATTCCATCACAATTCAAAAAAACCTCCAAACATTACACTTGCATCCAGAGTCTTTAAAATAGTATTTGCCCCCTTCCCATGGAGTCTAATTAATTGAACTCAATAAGGCTTCCAAAAGGGCTGGTTTGGGTGTCCTCCCCCCAGTTCAGCATTTAACAGCCCTCCTTCTAGGGCATGTATTTCAAATCCTGGCTTCCCTGGCCTCCAAACTCTTCTCCCTTACACTCAGGAATTACACAGCCCTCCTTCCTGGGGCTGGGAACTGGTTGAGTCCCTCCTCCTAAACAGCTCTTCCAGCAGCTTCCTCTGACTGTGCTTGGGGCATCCTGTTGATTTCCTTGCTCAGTCCCTAATCAGCCTCTTGATCCAACCCCATCATCCTGTCTGCACTGGCTGAGATAGAAGAATCTTCCTCACCCATTCTACAATTAAAGAAAAAATCATTTGGGATGCCTTCCCCCTCCCCCTCCACACACATACTGTCCTTCTCCCAGGCACTGATGACTTCATGGAACCATCTTCCTCTCTTACAATTACTAATTCAACTGTTTTCCAGCCTTCATCTGCCTCCCTGGACACAAAGATCCTGGTAACTGGCCTCTCACATTATTCCCTAGGGCAGCACCCCATTACACTATGCCATGTGTGTGTTATAGAACTTGAATAGAACAGAATGCCATTCATTAGACTTACTGACATACAGCATGTGTAATTTTATTTGCAAAGAATCCACCCTACAAAGGATTAAACATTTGAATCCATCCTAATTTTTCTGACACAAACAGAATGAACTCAATGAAAGGTATAGAAAGCAAAGGTAAAGGATAGAATGTTTTCAAAACCTACTTTGTTTTAACAAAATTTTCCACAGACCTTACTGAATTCACTCACAGTTCTTGGGTATATTTTGGATCCTGGTGAGAGGAAACTGTTAAACATTTTCCTGGACAACTTCCATTTAAACTAGGTAGGGGAGGTTCTGAAAATAAAGCCAATGTACATAAAGAACTGGAAGGTTTAGATAAAATATGGCCATTGAAAGATATTGCAAAGCAAGAACATGTGGAAGGGATTACAGACATACAGATCACCTTAATACCTCTGTACTGGAGAATTACCCAGGTATAAGAATTAATAAAAAAGATCTTCTGATAATATTTCAGATTTTTTGTCAGACAATAAAACATCATACAGTAGAACCTCACATATTACACTAATTACTGAGACATCAGTGAATGCTGGGAATGTGAAAGTGAGGGTGAAATTCATCCATGTGAAGAGAGCCAGCATAAAGCCTATGCACCACTGAAGACCCACATAAAGCCCATTCTGGAGTCTTAAATAGTCCACAGACCTTATGGGCATGTCTAAACTACATCCTTCTTTCGAAAGAGGGATGTAAATTAGGCAGATCGAAAGTGCAAATGAAGCCGGGATTTAAATATCCCGCCCTTTATTTGCATAATCGTATCACAGCATTCTTTCGAAAAAGGGTATTTCGAAAGTGAAACCACCATCTAGACGCTGTTCTTTCAAAAAAAAAAAACCCTTTTCAAAAGATCCCGTACTCATTTTTTGAGTACTGGATCTTTCGAAAAAGAGTTTGTTTTTTTCAAAAGAACCTGTCTAGATGGTGGTTTCACTTTCTAAATATCCTTTTTCGAAAGAACGCTGTGGCACGATTATGCAAATGAAGCACGGGATATTTAAATCCCTGCTTCATTTGCACTTTCGATCTGCCTAATTTACATCCCTCTTTCGAAAGAGGGATGTAGTTTAGACATAGCCTATGCCTGCTCTCTAAATGGGTGAATTTCACCTTAGGATGTTATGGAAGATGCAGCACTGCCAAATCTTCTCAGAGTTGCTTGTTTTTCACACAATACAAACCTGTGAAGTTAACCATAAACAGAGTTCTGTAATTAACCCTTGTCTCCCACGGTAGAGTGTTCATCATGGATACAAAGCAAACATTCTGGCAATTTTATTATACTCTTTGAGACAAACAGGCTATTAATGGTATCACAAAATAACATGCTGTTTGCTAAAGTATTGTTGAACATTTTTGCTGATAAGATTTTAAATATCCATTTGTCTCTGAAAAGTAGAACAGTTTTAGTAAATGTTTTCTCTGTTAACACTACAGATAGCATAGTCCCATTTTGAAGTAAAGTCCAGAGTGACGTTTTAGCCTTAAAAAGGTATTTATTACATTTTGTTATATAACATTAAAATTGTTTATTTGTGATTTTCTTTTACTTAAAATTACTGAGCTAAATGTTAAGAGGTAGCTATATTACAATAAGAAAAAGAGTAAACACTGTTAAGTCACAATATCTACAGTTTTCTGCATTCAGAAACATACAACACACAATTTCATTTACACTATATGCAGTACTTTAGCACTGGGGTGATAGCCACCTCGAGAACTTGAACTTGATCATTAAACAGTAAGAAGAGTTGGTTTTAAACAACACATGGTCCATCACTTTGGGAGGAAGGGGGAAAAAAGCTCCTAAGGATTTCTGTTCTTTACTTCCTTTTTTCTTTGTGTTTTAATTTCATTAAAACTAAATTACTTTCTGAGAAAAGGTCATGAATTAACCTTTGGTTTTTTATATACAGGCAGTCTCCAGGTTACGTCAGTCCGACTTAAGTCGGACCCCTAGTTACAAACGGGAGGGGGGCCCCGCTAGTGCGGGGTGCCTCCCCCACTGTCGCCGCCTCTGGCGGCGCGGGGGGCACTTCCCCCCAGCAGACCAGGGAGACGCGGCAAGAAGAGCCGCTCCGCATCTCCTTGGTCTGCTGGGGGGGAGTGGGGCACAGCTAGTGCACCACCACCCCCCCCCAGCAGACCAGGCTTTTCTCGCCACGGAGGACGTGGGCGGCGGGACCGCGGCGCGTCTCGGCGGTCCCGCCGCCCGCGTGCTCTGCGGCGAGAAAAGCCGCTCCGCGTCTCCCTGGTCTGCTGGGGGGAGGAGGGGCGCAGCTAGTGCTTTTCTTGCCAAGGCCTGGGGTAGAGCAGCTGGGGGGCTGCCAGGGTGATCCCACAGCGCCGAGGTGTGGCGCTACTGGACCAACCCAGCAGCACACCAGCTGCTCTGCTGCAGGCATCCCCAGGTCAGCCGCTGCTGAAACTGACCAGCGGCTGACTACAGGAAGCCCGAGGCAGAGCTGCTCTGCCCGGGGCTTCCTGGAATCAGCCGCTGGGCCGTTTCAGCAGCAGCTGACTTGGGAGCACCTGGGGCAGAGCAGCTGGGGGGCTGCCAGGGTGATCCCACAGCGCCGAGGTGTGGCGCTACTGGACCAACCCAGCAGCACACCAGCTGCTCTGCTGCAGGCATCCCCAAGTCAGCCGCTGCTGGTCAGTTTCAACAGCGGTTGAATCTGGACGCCAGTTCCAACTTACATACATATTCAACTTAAGAACAAACCTACGGTCCCTATCTTGTACGTAACCCGGGGACTGCCTGTATTATTTCAGTAGATTTTCTACTTTATGCTGTACAGTACTTGCAGTTGAGCAAAATGGACTGTGTTCAGTCAGTCATATTGCTTCTGGGCTGGAAAAATACAGTGACATCTACAGTAAAGTTGATCACCATTCTTTCTACACATTGAAGAATATAAACCATAAATCAGTTTGCCTAAATGCATTTGTATTACATCTTGGGATTGTCAGCTACAATACATTTGGCTGAAAGAAGATATGTACGAGTGCAAAACTATTTAAGATATTTCCCACGTTGCTGTTGGTGACAGAATAGCAATTGTCTATAGCAGAGTCACATGACTTTTTGATCTAAAAGAAACCCCAGCACAGGATAATATTGACACTATAACCTATCTGAAGCGAAATCAGACCCTACATTTGAGATATTTAAATTGATTCTGTTTCGATGGGTTAGCACTTTAATAAAAGGCAAACGATTTATATGATCTGAAGAGAAACCAGCATTTGAGCAAGTACCATATAGTAGTATTGACCACCTTGTAAAACCAAAGCTAGTTCCCATCAAAATCACTGGAAGTCTTAATTTGATCTCAATGGATCTACAAGCAGGCTCCTAGCAGCCAACTGTCACTGTTCTTGGCAAAGTCAAGTTAGAGAAAATATTGAACATAAAGGATGTATTATCCTTGCCACACTGACGTCAGTGGCAAAATTCACACTGACTTCAATGGGGTAGGGTTCCCTCCAGAAAGTGGCAAGTTCAGGCCCACATTAGAGTTGTGTTTGTCAGGTAATTCCAGTTAAACATTTATATTATCATGACCTGATAGTGGCCAATACACAAACAGCTAATGAGCAGTGTTAACAATCTCCCGTTACAGTGTTGTTAATGATTGCAATGAAGAGTTCAGCAAGATTTAACCAAGACACTGGTCTTGGGCAAATTTAATGAGAGGGAAATACCCAATGTATATAGGCAGAATGTTTCTCTAAGTTGGTGTGTGTCCTTAAAGTATCTTATTCTTAAATAATTTCTAGTAGCATCCTGACTGCTACAGGATGTTTAAGGTAAACTTTTTGACTGCATTTATTGCACTCTTTTCAAAAGCTTTATAACAAAACCCTTCTGATGTACCATAGATTCTTCTTTGTGATTAATTAATCTATAGAAGTTAAATTACATGAACTACTGACATATCAAAATTGCATATACTATTGGTCTGAGATGTACTGTCCTATTTTATAATCTGTGGCATATCACTCCAAGCTTGGGATTTCTTTTTGGCAAGTTCCATCCACGATGGCTGATCAGGAACAGAGTGACTGACTTTCTTAAACTGGTTCATTTCTTCTTTTTCTATCAGCACTGAGGATTGAGCTATTGTGAAAAAATATATATATGTTAGCTTGATGCTTACCAAAAGACCTCATCCGTTTCTTATAAAATAAAATCTTTATATTTCACGTGGAAACTTATTCTGCAGTGCCATAGCAAAGAATTAAAATTGTACTATAGATCTAAGGCAACATGCACATGCACTTGCCTTCTTTTCAAGGGGGCAATTTAGGTCCCAATCCATGATGCATCCAATACCCTCAACTCACATTGACTTCAATGAGAATTGAAGTAGCTACAGAATTGGCCCATTATAAGCAGCATTCTTTTAAATAAAACTGTGTTAAATAAATAAAGTTAATTCTTGCCCTCACTGCAACTAGTGGCAAGTGAGAGACAAGACTAGACACTGGGGAGCAGATCCTCCAAACACTTAAGCACATGGATAGTTTTGGCTCATATGAGCAAAGTCATTCACGTGCTTCATAGTTTGCAGGGCTGGATCCTACATCAGTATTTCGAGCATTTGTTTTCATACCAGGAATAGTACGTGACAGTGAGTTGGTTCTTGGCAGTGGCTCTTTCACTTCAGACTTTGTCTCATTCCTCTGTTCTTCTGAAGAAGCCTTAGTTGTAAAATGTGAAGGTTTGCTCCTGATGAAGTCTGCTTGTTGCTTCACTGGCCACTAATTACAATGGGGGGAAAAAAGCAAGTAGAAAAGATTTAAATAATTCAGCAGAAAACAGTAGGAATTAAAAAAAACAAAACAAAACATGAGCAACACAACAGTGAACAAGATACTCTTGCATAACCATAGAAAAGTCTGGTCACACACTTGTTCCATTTATTTCACTCAAATTACCAGTTCATAAAGCTCTTAAGATTTTGGGATTTGTTTCCAGGACTCTTATTTTGCAATTTTTAAAAAAAAAACCTCTATATTTTGTTATTTTTACTGAAAATTTATTCTGAGACATATGCAACTTTCTGCTAACATGAAGAGACAGGAGTCACACCTGGCAGAAAATGGTTTGAGGTACACATGGGGGAGTAGTGGCTTCACAGTATGCTTCTCTTTCTTCTCTCCAACTCTTAAGTTTAGTGTGCAGGTAGTGAAGGGGCTTAGGGTTGTGGTTAGAGGTTCTTTGAGGCAGCATTTCCTTTAGATCTTCAGGAATTTCCTGAAGGAAAGCCATGCTAACTACATCAATATATTCTCCCATGGGTTCCCATACTGTCCTGTGAAACTCCACCGTGGCAGAAATCCATAGTAGTGTTTTTGGAAGGAGCCCAGTGGGCAGAGATAATGGAAGCAGTGTAGTGGCATTAGGCCTCATGCCATATTGTCAGCAGGATCCCGGGGAAACCAACAGGCTAGGAGGGTCACATCCCTTTAGCTGTTCTGTGGGGGCCAATCTACATGGCACAATCTCCAGGATACAAGGCAACTCAAAATCAAGAGTCTCAGAGGGGTAGCCGCGTTAGTCTGTAACTGAAAAAACTTTTAAAAAACAACAAATAGTTCTGCAGCACATTAGAGACTAAAATAACATGTAGATGGTATCATGAACTTTCCTGCTCACAACCCACTTCTTCACAGCATCAGAGCTGAAGAAATGGGCTGTGCCCATCAAAGCTCCTGATATCATCTATATTTTTGTTAGTCTCTAAGATGATGCAGAACGACTTGTTGTTTCTTAAGTTTTTTGAAATCAAGAGATTCCTAAACCTTACATGGGAATTTCTCACACAGGGAATGATTAAACCCTTTGGCTATGTCTAGATTGCATCCCTTTTTCGTAAAAGGGATGCAAATTAGACGTATCGCAATTGCTAATGAAGCGGGGATTTAAATCTCCCCCGCTTCATTAGCATAAAAATGCTGCCGCTTTTTTTCGGCACGGAGCTTTGCCAGAAAAAAGCGCCAGTCTAGACGCGGATCTTTCGGAAAATAAAGCCTTTTCCGAAAGATCCCTTATTTCAAGAGGGATAAGGGATCGTTTGGAAAGGGCTTTATTTTCCGAAAGATCCGCATCTAGACTGGCGCTTTTTTCCGGCAAAGCTCCATGTCGAAAAAAAGCGGCAGCCATTTTTATGCTAATGAAGCGGGGGAGATTTAAATTCCCGCTTCATTAGCAATTGCAATACCTCTAATTTGCATCCCTTTTATGAAAAAGGGATGCAATCTAGATGTAGCCTCTATGTTTTAGGAGTCATGAATGGGTACAAACTTATTACAGTTTATAATCTCATCTGGACACATCATTAGGGAAATTTCTTGTCAATCACATTGTCATTATTTATCATTTGTCGTCTTTTAGAAAGGCTTCTTTTAAAACTTTAGAATACAATACACTACCCATAGCTACCATCAGGAGAGCTTACTGGAAGGAATTATTTAGCATGAGTTTTCTATGAGGCAATGCTAGCTAATAGACAGACACAACTTCTCTCATAAATCTCATTTATCATTGTAAAAGAGCCAAAATCTAGATCTCGGGTTTGTCATTGAGTCGCACACAGAAAAGTTATTTTTACCTTATTTCATTTCTCCAGACACTGAAAATGGTTGAGTAGGAGGTTTTGAAACCAAGCTGTTCAGTCAGCCTTAAAATCACTGTGAAGATTTAGGATTACTATAAAATATGAGGGATGGGGCAGGAGCGGGGTTTATAGACAAACAAAAAAGAACAGATTCCCTCAGTAGGGATAGACCAGATTTTAGCATATCCATCTATTTACTTCAGTGTACGTATACACAAAGCTAGGCCTGATCCTGCCAGCATTTAAGCAGATAAATAATTTACATTCAAGAAGCAATACCATGACCACTACAGGGACTATGCATGTGTACAATTATTTCCAGGATCAGAATCTTCATAAATAAGCATTAACAATAATTAGAATTTGAAGAATTATTTAATAGCAACTGATCCAAATCAAGAATGCTACAGCAATTTTACACAAAAGCATTAAGCAAGCTTGCTTATAAGCACCTCCAGTCTTTCCTTCTCCTTATTTTGTTTTTCTGTGTCTGGCTTAACATCTTCAGCCACAAGTTTCTCTTCTTTATTGAGTTCTTGCTCCTGTTGCATGCCTCTCTGCTTCTGTCTTGCTATAGTAATCCAGGCTGGTGTTGACTGGCTATCAGTTCCTCCTGCAGAGTCTGCTGTAAACACTGGGGAAGGCACAGTCTTCTCTGTTGACAGATTCATTTGGAAACAAGGTTATTTGAAAGAAAACTTTAATTCATTTTAGCTCCTCCACTTTCTCAGTCCACTGATTTGTTATTACAGTAAATTAAATAATTATTCTATTTTGATCCTTTTAGGTGGTTTGATATCACTGTTCATTATTCACTTTGTTAAATTGCAATTTGACTTGTAAGAGATGCTTTCTTTAGCTTTGTCCAGAGTGTCACACCATGTTGCTCCACTCATATGAGTGACATACAGGAGCAGGAACAACACTGCAACTGTCAGTTGCAACCTGTCAACAGCTGTCTACTTTTGATCTTGCCCTCTCTCTCTCCTAAATACCAAGGCACAGCTTCAACAGCACTAAAAAGAGTGAAATGTTAAAATGGAAAACCACAAAAATTAATGCATCCGGCTGTGAAACATGGCCAGAAGGAGGGGGTAAGTAGCTTACAGGCCAAATGACCCAATCTTTAGGGACGTGCTGGTAGATAAGGTTTGTGTTTTTGTGTATTTACAGATATATTGTTAAAGGTTAATAATGTAGCCCAGTGGTGGGAACCTTTTCTGGGTCGGGGGCTGCAAGAAAATGTGAGAAGCAAAAAACAACAACAAAAAACAAACTCTCACAGACATGGCCCCTGACTGAGAAGGAGACAGACATTCCCCAAATTCCCTTTGCACACCAGAGCATAGTGGGGACCAAGCTAGTAGATTTTGTGTGCTCCAGCCCCAAGGGGAGATGGTGGGGTCCAGGTGCACTAAAATGGAAGGCTCCCCAATGCTGGAGGGGAGAGCCACAAGCCTCAGGAGCTGGTTCCAGGCAAGCTGGGAGCTGCATCCAGCCCCCAGACCTTGGGTCCCCCACCCCCGATTTAATCAAGCAGTTCCAGTCTCTAATGTATTCATGTCTATTTGAAGTGTATAGCAAATAATCTGTGAATGGTAGAAAGCAATTGCCTTATGTTAATCTATATAAATAATTACTGGTGATGTTTGGAAATACAGGCTGTCCCCAGGTTACGTACAAGATAGGGACTGTAGGTTTGTTCTTAAGTTGAATCTGTATGTAAGTCAGAACTGGCGTCCAGATTCAGCCGCTGCTGAAACTGATCAGTTTCAACAGCAAGGACTACCATGAAGAGGATCTAGGAGTCATAGTAGACCACAAGCTAAATATAAGTCAACAGTATGACACTGTTTCAAATATGATTTTTGAAAATATTAACAGGGGAATTTTATGCAAGACACGAGAAGTAATTCATTTGCTCTGCTCTGTAAAGATTAGGCCTCAACTAGAATTTTGTGGCCAGTTCTGGGTGATATGTTTCAAGAAATATATGGACAAATTGGAGAAGGTCCAAAGAAGAGCAACAAAAAAGATTAACGGTCTAGAAAACATCACCAAGAGGAATGATTGAAAGTATTGGGACTATTTAGTCAGGAAAAGAGAAGTCTGAGGGGTGACTTAAGTATCAAAAATGTTGCAAGGAGGAGAGTGAAAATTACTTCTAATAGGGCAAGAACCAAGGGGATTAAACTGCAGCAAGTAAGATTTTAGGTTGGATTTTAGGACAGACTTCCTAACTGTCAGCATGGTTAAGCACTGAATGAGTTGCCTTGGAAGGTTTTGAAATGTCCATCATTGGAGGCTCTTAAGAGCAGGTCAGACAAACAACTGTCAGGAATGACGTTATTCCAAAATAACATAGTGCATGTCTACACAGTAAACCCTTATTTTGAAATAATGTCGAGCTGGAAGACTTCTTACTCCGACCGACTCATGGTAACCCTCATTTCATAAGGAGTAAGGGAAGTCAAAGAAAGTGTGCAAACAGCGCCAAAAGCCAAGTTAAGCTATTTCGACTTCAGCTATGCAACTGACGTTGCTGAAGTTGTGTATCTTAATTTGATTTTAGCCCTGCTGTGTAGATGTACCCTAAGGTGCTACAGTACTGCTCATTTTTTATAATCATTGAAGCAACCAAAGCAGGGGCATTTGGGCATCCAGAGACCTTTCTACAGTTCTGTATGGACACTCTCTGTCCTTTGCTGATCGGCTCCAACTCTCTCCACCATCACAGTCTCTTCATCTCAGCTTCACTTCACCCTGTACCCTCTTTTCTACTGCCATGGCTCCCTCATTCCCTTCATTATCCACTCTCCATTTAACTCACCATCTCTGAATTAAACTAAAAAATCAGGGTACTAACACATGCTCTTTACTGCTTGTGTGTTTATTTGTTTCTCCTCACCCCATGTCTGTCTTGTCTATTTGGATTGCCTGCTTCTCTGTTGGTATGCTGCCTAGCACGAGTCAGCCTATTCGTGGCTGGCTTGTAGGCACTTCCATAAGAAACATAACAACATCTGAAGTTGCCCAGATTTAAAACATTTATCAGCACATGGAGGGGAACCATGCATGTCTTCCCCCAGGTAATAAGTTGTGGGCACCTCTCTGGTAATAGGCAAAGTGGCATGATTAATCCTAAATCACTTAGTCATAAATCACTTCCATCCAAAACTAACATCGCCACCTGTTCCTTCAGCATTTCCTAATGGATGTCTGTTCATCAGTGTTACAAGGTCTCCCTGCCCTTAGCGGAGAGAACCACCCCATTCAGTGTCTCTACCCTTACTAATAGTCAATAGTCCCTGCCTGACGTGGAACGGCCTTGGTCAAGTCCCTTAACCTTGTCCTGAATCTCCTTCACGCAGGGAGGGGAGGGAGGTCTGGGCCTGCCCTTGCTCCAGACCTCAGCCCAGGATCCTAAGAACAAGCACAGTCGCTGCCTGTTCGGCTGGTGGGGTCGCTCCCCCCAACTCACTGGCCCACAGGCTGTCCTTCGCCCCGTCCTGGGCTACTTCCTCCCCTCCTGGTGAGCCCTCTTGGGCTATCTTCCCCCCGGAGTCCGGGATCTATTCCACCTCCACTCCCCTCCTCCCGCCAGTCCGTCTCCCCTAGACCCCCCCCTTCCAGCAGGCAAGCGTCCCGCTTTTCAAAGCCGGCGCCCTCCAGCTGGGATGCCAGCACAGGCACCCTCCCAGCGCCGGGACCAGACGCCGCTTTAATGCAGGGTGCAGGACCCTCGCTGTGGGTGCCCGACACTCTGTCACAATCAGCTTATGCTCAAAACTGAGCTCGCAGTCTTTCCACCGAAGCACTTGCCCTTCCCCTACTTCAGTAATCATGGACATGGCCAACATCCTCCTCCTTATTCAGGTGCATAAACTGGGCAGCTGTCTTACTAAATATATATTACTAAACCATACTTCAAATCCTCTTGCTCTTTTCTGTGGAGTATATCTAAGATCAGTGCCTTGCCTCTCTGCCCACACACCTAAAACACTAATTTAGACCTTCATCTCACTCTTTACTATATTCTCCTCCTTTATGGCCTTGACCTACGCTGTCTTACACCTTGAATAACCCTGTTCTTATCTCTTTCAAGCATGAGACTGTCAATATACTTTTTTGACTTGTGATGTGGCAAGTCAAAGGATCGGGAAATAGAGATAGTCAGGGTGGAACCAAGAGTCCTTGGTAGCAATGTTCCCCCTCATTTATTTCCATTCATATGGAAATAAGGGACTGAAATGGGAGAGAAACCCTGGGTGTGTCTGTGTAAATACAGTTTGCCCCTGCTTTGCTTAGGTGTGTTAGATAGTCAGCTGTTACAATGGTGTTTTGCTCATTGTAATAGGCTTGGCTGGTGTTGGGTCACAAACTGTGTTAACACAATGTGAAATGTCTGTAATTGTTGTGGGAATACAAAAGTACAAAGTCTGTGCTTCACCTGGCACAAAAGAGAGACATTGTCAGTGTAAATAAACTTGGATAGACAGAGGCTCCCATCTCAGAGCCCTGTGAGATTAAACTGGGACTGGCAGGACTCTGAGTCAGCAGGCTACATGACCTCCAGGTGTGAGCTGTAAGACTAGTTCAACCCGTTTCTCCCCACTGTTTCAATGATAGAGCTAAAGAAAGGCTTCATAAAGAGTCTCTTTTATTATTTAAATTTAGTTCAGTGGATGCTGGAGTCTCCTGTGGCTGGAGTCTCCTGTGCTTTGGGCCAAGAGCTGAAATCACAGAGCTGAAATCACTAGGTTTGGCCCAGAGCCAAATCCACAAGCCAGTGGAAGATGCAATGAGCAGAGACAGCACAATGAGCAGCCAGCAGAGCGGTGATGGAGAAATGTAATGATTGGCCAGCAGAGCAGCTGCCAGCGAGGTGCAATGAATATCCAGCAGAGCAGCACCAAAGAGCAGAAAGCAGGTGTATTGTGAGTGACAGGGTGGAGTAAGATGCCTCCTTATCTCCCTCCCACTCAGGGTGGAAGGTGAACTCTGTGGATGCACCTCTGAACTCTGGGTTCGCCATGACTAAGTGCAGTAATTCTGAGTGGGGTGCAGAGAAGGGCTGGGCATGAGAAGGGGACATTTAGGTTGCTGGACCTAAGAACCTAAGTGGAAAAGGACATCGCCCAACCTACTTGGGGTGGGGCTGTTACTCATGGGCTATGTCTAGACTGGACAGTTTTTCCAGAAAATCAGCCGCTTTTCTGGAAAAACTTGCCAGCTGTCTGCACTGGCTGCTTGAATTTCCACAAAAGCACTGACTTCCTATTGTAAGAGAACAGTGCTTTTTGCTGAAATACTATGCTGCTCCCGTTTGGGCAAAAGTCTCTTTTGCGCAAAACTTTTGCACAAAAGGGCCAGTGTAGACAGCTGAGATTTGTTTTCCGCAAAAAAGCCCCGATCACGAAAATGGCGATCGGGGCTTTTTTGCGGAAAAGCGTGTCTAGATTGGCATGGATGCTTTTCCACAAAAAGTGCTTTTGCGGAAAAGCATCCATGCCAATCTAGATACGCTTTTCCGAAAATGCTTTTAACAGAAAAGTTTTCCATTAAAAGCATTTCCGGAAAATCATGCCAGTCTAGACGTAGCCATGGTGTTTGGTTATGAATTCTGTCTGTGGTGTTTTCCCAAATTAATGCCAT